AAACACAACTTTACGGGACAAATTAATAAAATGTTAATAACTTGGTATGACTCTTGCAAGGCTTACAGCATTTCTTCATATTATTATTCAATTTTTCCTTCATCACCAGGGGGCAATGTGAATATATTTAGTGTCTGCAGTGAAAATTCAATAATTTTTATAATTCTAATTAAATTTCCTTCTTGTTTTGAGCAGATGGGAATGGCACTGTGACACAGTCTGCGGATGGCCTTTGGCATAACAATCAAACTGTAAGCATATTCCCTCCTATCTGATTAGCCAGGTTCCCTTGTTTATCTTCCTGGAAGCAAGTTACATTTCAAGACTTTTTGTAAGACTAGCCCACAGATTTCTTTAAGAAGAAAAAAAAAGAAGAAAAGAATTTGATTCTTAAATAAGATGCTTTAATTTGAAAAGTTCCTTTAAGTTGAAATGGCACTTTACTGAATAACATACACATTACACTGACATTCTCCTGGCCAAAAATTGGTAAAAAGAAAAGAATGAGCTAATTTAAGGACCACAAGTTAACATCATAAAGTACTCAAGAGGACTTCAGTTAATTGAGTAACGACATGCTCTGATGAGGTGCAGTGGTGGCCATCCCAAACAGTAATAGAAAGTAAGTGGAAGAGTACTAGCTTAAAGATAAGTCCCCTAATATTTTTTCCCCATCCAATAGCCATTTTTGTAGAAATTTTGAGGTCACTGTTGGGTTTTTTTGAGTCTCGCTTTGTCACCCTCAGTAGAGTGCATGGCGTCATAGCTCACAGCAACCTCAAACTCTTGGGCTCAAACAAACCTCTTGCTTCTGCCTCCCAAGTAGCTGGGACTACAGGTGCCCACCACAACACCTGGCTAATTTTTAGAGACAGGGTCTTGCTCTTGCTCAGACTGGTCTCGAACTCGTGAGCTCAAGCAATCCACCTGTGCATCCGCCTTAACCTCCCAGAGTGCGTGAGCCACCAAGCCTGGCCTTGCCACTGTAGATTTTTAATCTCTATATAAACCAAACCTGTATGTGATGATTTTAAAGGTATTAAGGTCTTAGACTTTTTTTTTTCTTTTGTTTCTTTCTCTCTCTCTCTTTTTTTTAAGACAGAGTCTCACTATTTTGCCCTGGGTAGAGTGCCGTGGAGTCCTCATAGTGCACAGCAACCTCAAACTCTTGGGCTTGAGAGATTGATCCTTTTACCTCAGCCTCCCGAGTAGCTGGGACTACAGTGTCTGCCACAACATCTGGCTAATTTTTCTACTTTTTAGTAGAGATAGGGTCTTGCTCTCATTCTTGTTCTCATTTGGGCTGGTCTTGAACTCCTGAGCTCAAGCAATCCACCTGCCTTGACCTCCCAGAGTGCTAGCATTACGGGTGTGAGCTACTGTGCCTGGCTGGCAATTTATTTTTATTTATATATATTTTTAAAGAGTCAGGGTCTCTGTTAGCTAGGCTGTAGTGCAGTGGTGAGACCATGGCCTACTGCAATCTCAAACTCCTGGGCTCACACAATCCTGCTGCCTCAGCTTCATGAGTAGCTGGGAGGACAGACGTGTGCTGCCACCTCCCTCAGCTAATTTTTTCATTTTGTAGACAGACAGAGTCTCACTATGTTGCCCTGGCTGGTCTTGAACACCGGGCTTCAAATGATCCTCCAGCACTGGCCTGCCAAAAAGCTAGGACTATAGATAGGTAAGAGTACCACATCTGGCCAAGGTTTTAGACAATTTTGATTCTCTAAAATATTCTCATAGTTTTTTCACAGTGAGCTTGAGAAAAATCTAAGGGATCCAAGTCTCCTGATGGTTCTGAAAGTTTTGACTTTGCAAATAAGTTAGAAAAATGTATCAATAGACGTTTTCTTTTGGCTCCTGGGAGAATCGAGCAGCCTTTTAGTATCTGCAAATAACTCTTAGAGGCAACAACAAAACCTGTTTGAGGTTATGAGAATAATCTTTCTCTCTTTCTGTCTTTTGGTTTTCCTTTTGAGTCAAAATCTTACTCTATCACCTTGGGCCTTGGGTTGAGGGTGGTGGCATCATCATAGCTCACAGCAACCTCAAATTCTTGGTTTCAAGTGATCCTCTTACCTCAGCCTTCCAAGTAGCTGGGACTACAGCACCTGCCGTAATACCTGGCTAATTTTTCTATTTTTGGTAGAGATGGGGGTCTTATTCTTGCTCAGACTGGTCTCAAACTCCTGAGCTCAAGCAATCCACCTGCCTCAGCCGGTGGTGCTAGAATTACAGATATGGGCCACTTTTCTAACAGCAAGTTGTGAGAAATGACAACATGGCCATTGTAAGAAAAATTCAAAAAGCTCAGGCAAAGTGGGTCTATTTAGCATAGGACCAAATAGCCTTATGCTGCATACCTTGTGACAATGAAAACACTACTACACAGGAATGATATTAAAATTTTTCATGGCCAGACACGGTGGCTCACACCTATAATCCTAGCACTCTGTGAGGCCGAGGTGGGTGGATTGCTTGAGCTCCCAAGTTTGAGACCAGTCGGAGCAAAAGCGAGACTCCATCTCTACTAAAAATAGAAAAATTGAAGCAAGAGGATCACTTGAGCCCAAGAGTTGGAGGTTGCTGTGAGCTGTGATGTCACGGCCCTCTACCCAGGGCAATAGCTTGAGACTCTGTCTCAAAGAAAAAAGAAAGAATTTTAATGGCTTGCATACAAGTGGGTGCAGATTGATTTGATGGATGCAGGCTGAGTTTGTACTTGCTGTCTAAATATCAGAACTGCCACTACATACATGTTTGCTGTATTGCCTTGTGACCAGACTCATGCTGCATTTAGAAAGAAACACTCCACATGGTGAGGTTGCTCATGGCCTCAGTAGCTGGAGAACACACAGCAAGTGAAAGTAATTTAGATGTAAGTTTAAGACAGGTAGTAGCCAAAAGGTGGGTTTTTTGTTCCTCAACTGAAGATGTCATAATGTCTGTCAGGTATCTCAAAAACATGCAGCATGTAGTTTGACCGAGGAGGCTGATTTCCTCTCTGGGAGGACAAAATTGAACAAATACATAAAAATGAATGATAGAGTATGTTCAGTACTGCTATTTATAATCATGGAAACTGGATCAATAACTTAAATGTTTCATAGTAAGAGTTAAATTATTTAGTCAGCTTAGCATGGCCAAATATTGCCATTAAGGATGTAGTCATTGCAGTATCCTTAGTGATATGGGTTACACTACATTGTTTAGTGAAAAAAGCAACTTTTTTTTAAAGATAGAGTTTCAGTCTGTTGCCTAGGGTAGAGTGCTGTGTCATTGTGTCATCAGCCTAGCTCACAGCAACCTCAAACTCCTGGATTCAGGTGATCTTCCCGCCCCAGCCACCTGAGTAGCTCAGACTACAGGAGCCTGGCACAATATCTGGCTAATTTTTCTACTTTTATGGGATCTGGGTCTCACTCTCTCTATGCTGTCAAGCTCCTGAGCTCAAATGATCCTCCTGTCTCCCTTCCAGAGTGCTAGGATTATATGTGAGCTGCAGCGCCTGGCTGAAAGAAACAACTTTAAAAATAGTAGATATACTGTAATTTATATAGACTTCAGTTATTGTTTCTATGGAAGAAAAAAATTCTAGAAGGATAAGATTCTAGAAGACTATATAAAATAAAACAGTAGTAGTGCTTTATTTCTGAACGTTAGACTTATGGTTGATTTTAGTTTTTCTTTTTTCTGCTTAGCTGCACGTTCTAAAATGAACATACAGTATTTGTGTAATATAATTTAAAAATGAAAGCAAAGCCAGCCTCCTGAAAACCCATTTTCCATCAACTCACTTTATATTCTCCCCGCTGCCCCTAGCCTCCCCTGGGTGAGGTGATAAAAGCACAATGCCTCCCCTTCCCCCAGGCTCTGGCTATCTGAGCAAGAATGGCACAAATGTTAGCCTATATCCCTCGTAGCATTTATCAGCAAGGACCTAAAAAGTACCTTTCTAAAGCCTTATTGAATCTGCTGTTTATAGACAAAGGAACAGGTTCAGAGAGGCTAAATAACTTATCTATGAGTACACAGAAACTAAATAGAAGAGCTGGGATTCTGGCTTCAGTGATTAAACTCCTACACAGGAGAAGACATGATCCTTTGCTCTGATCCTCTACTTTATTCTGTTAAAAATATTTGCCCTGTGTGTTCTCTTTAGGATCATAGCTAAGCTATGAAAGGGGGCCTTGTATGATGCTTGGCACATTTCAGCCCTGTTTTAGGAGGTTACAGTCTCCTGTGATCTGCACCAAGAGATGTAAACACAATTCTACATTTCTGCCTGATTGCATAGCATTAAGTCATTAATCAGGGCCATGGCTGTCACAGCTATTTTCACATCTATTTCTATAGACGTAGATTCTTGAATTACATTTACAAAACAAATAAGGACTGTAAGTATTAGACTCAATAACACATTCAGATAATATCACATCAAGCCAACTTGTACATGAAAGATTTTTCCCCTTTTTTTAATATCACAAGAGGATATATCTATGGAAATAGCTTATGATTTTATTTTATTACTTATTTATTTTGGCCCGGGGCTGGGTTTGAACCCACCACCTCTGGCTTATGGAGCCGGCACCCTACCCTTTTGAGCCACAGGCGCTGCCCATAGCTTATGATTTTAAAAACAGATAGTTTACATGCAATACATACAAACCCATTTTAAATATACAGTTTTAGATTTGATAAATGTATACACCTATATAAATACCACCTCAAGCAAGATATAAAACATTTCCATCATCCTAAAATATGTTTGAATTTCAATTTTCCTAAAATGTCACCATTACTTAGAACCACATATGATTTGGACTTATTCATGTTCTAGAGGTAGTTTAGGTCCAATAGAGATAAATGTGGCTGAGTAAGTTGTTCTAGGAAATGTTTTCCATCCATAACGCTAACAAGAAGCTAAGTCAATCTGATGTTTCCTTAGCAACTGTCCCCAACACAAAAGCCACGGACCACCACCACCACCACCAACAAGGGACTCTACATTGGAATGTCTCTTTTTGCAGTGATGTTGCTTGCTCTCCTGGTTGTCATCATTACCAAAAGTAAGTTATTTCAAGATTGTTCCCAGGGGACTCCTTCAAAGGCTCTATAGCCAAACTGCCTGGGTTCAAGTAGCTCTATGCCATGCGATTTTGATTTTGCATGCTTTGCCCATGTCCCAAATCCCTGTGTGTAAAATGCGTATGGAAGTACCACCTATGTCCAGGGGCATGTGAGGTTCATATGCCTCAGTACATACAAAACATTGAGAACAGTGATTAGCACACGGTGAGTGCAAAGCAATCTTAAACTGTAAATATTGCATTTAGATAAGATCCTTTTGGCCATGAATCTTCATAAATCTCATGGAGTGTACATTATACTGGACTCTTCACTTAACACCATTTTTCTTAACCTTCCTTATTTTTCATTTATTGACGCCCTAAAGAGAAAAATTCTATTCTCCACAATAGAAATTATAGCTATTTTTCAGTATCCTTGGCAGATTCGTTCCAGGACCCCCATAGATATCAAAATCTGTGAATGAGCAAATTCTTTATAAAACGGTGTAGTACTTACAATCTGCATGTATCTTCCCACGTAATTTAAATCATCTCTAGATTATTTATAACACCTGACATGGTACGAATGTTGTGTATTTGTTAGGTGGCATTTTTATCTGTATTATTATGTTTTATGGTTTTAAAAATTATTTTCGGTCTGTCGTTGGTTTAAGCTTAGGATATCAAACTCTTGGATACTTCTCATCTGTTTTAAGAATAAGTATTTGTTGGGTAGGGTTGCTATTTGGAAGGTAACAAACCATTATAATATATAAGATTCGTTCTCTTCACCCCTGAATATCTAATTGTTTTTTCCTATGGGGTGATACTGTTGAAAAGTCTTACAGCAACAGTTTGGCAGGAGAAGAGGCAAATGAGACATTGAGAGGGGAAACTGGTTTTGCAAGACTACAGCTAGAACAAAAATCTTCAAGAAGCAACCATCCACTGCCTCTCATGAAAGAACCACAAATAGCTATTTAGTAAGATGCTGTATTTGAACCCATTACTAATCTATTTCATGTGTCTGGGTGGAGTTAGAAAGTTAAGAGTATTCTCTGCACATTTGAAGGAATTTTTACTTTATTATTTTATTTAAAAGTCAGTTAGACAAAATGATTATTTGGAAATTGAGTAAAACAGCTTTTAGGGAAGTTAACACTTTCCCTTTGAAGGTTTGAATATGCTGAAATAAACTGACAGTAAACAGATTAACAGGAGAAAGGTGTACATATGATGTGCATGAGTGTGGGAGCCACAAAGACTGAGCCTCAAAGACCCAATGGCTGAAACTTAAATGCCTTTTCCATGAGGTAGACAATCTTAGAGGAAGAGTAAAGGATTTTAGGGGAGATGAGAGGACCCCAGAAGCAGACAATAGGCTGGGACAAAGTTCTTTATGGTGTCAACTCTAGTCTGTCTTCCTATAGTATGCATCCATTTCTCTGGGGGAGAGCATCACAGCAGTTGAAAATCTGGAGGATCTGGCCTAGAGGTAGAGAGGGGAACTTTAGAAAACGCCCTTCCCTGCATTTGCTGCTTCTGACCTGCTCTCAGTTTGAAATCCAGAGCAGCATATTTTGAGTTATCATTTTCTTAGCTCCAAAACCTTAAACATGCTTTTCTCCTTAAATAACGCATTTCCTTTGTAAGGAGGGGGATGACTGGTCATGTAAAAGTCTGGGAAAAGTAGATGTTACCTTTAGTATGACTTTGATAGATGTTACCTTTAGTATGACTTTGGGTCCCAGTTTGCCCAGGACAGGCCTGGTTAATGCCTGCTCTTCTGTGGCCCATCAGGAAACTTTCTCAGTTTTTAAACTGAAAGAATATTTGACAATCGTGCTAACATAAGTCAAGATATGTAGATGGATATACCAAATCATTAATGAAGATGAGACTCTGAACAGGAGAGGGATCTTCTGGGTTCTCCACACTCAAAAAGACATACAAGAAAGTTACTGGGAATTACCAGGGAAGGGTCTAAGTAATAACAGAAATCACGTTTGTTTGGAAGAAGATAATATGAACTCTTTTACTGCCATGTTAAATTTTCTCTTCAATTCCTCCCTGCCCTTCCAATTTAGAGTGTTTCTACAACAAGGACAAGATGGCACAACTAAGGTAAGTTTGAAAGTGTTTGTGTCAATACCTTTTGATGCCCCTACTCTAGGAAGATAAAGAGAAATTTCTCTGTCTCTCCTCCTACTTGTTTCCTAAAAAGTCCATTTTATATCCTAGATCCTCAAAAGCTAGGTTAACGAGCACCTCCATAGCTGTTCATACCTTCCAGTGATATTTAGCTTTCTGTATTTCCCTGGTGTCGTGGCAGGGAACACTTCACTCCTCCCCTCTTAGAGGAACAGAACTAAATCGCAACTTTTGCGTGATGGGCCTGAGCATTGAATGAATGGTTTTGGTTTGTTCTTTTGTTTTATTCAATGCCCTGTTTTACTGAGTGTTTATTGAGTACCTATAATAATGCACAGAGATAAACAAAAGAGACAGAAATCAGATAAGCAAATAAACAGGGTCCTTTTAAGGTGCTTTTAGAGAAACTGGATGGGATCTACAGAGCAGGGTGAAGGGTTGTTTGAGTGAGCCTAGAGGGAGCAGAAAATTTGGACAAGATGATCCCTGGCTGATGAGGAAGGAAGTGCAGCCGCACTGAGGTAGGGCAAGTGCCTCGGCTCCCATCATTCCCTGCTGCTCCCTGGTGTTTTGCCTGTTCCTTGCCTGCTCCACTCAGGTGTTTTAGTTGTCTGGCCATGTGGGCACATGCATTTACTATCTCTGTGAGGATCTTTCAGTCTACCCTGCAACCCAGTTAACCCTTCACTGCCTCTACACCATGAAGCTAGGGGCCACAATGCCTGTTATGCCAGGAGATAACTACTCAATCCTAAAGCTGACTGGCGAGCTATGTTTGGGCAGGTGGGGCTTTAAGCAAGGGCTTACTCTGCTTCGAAATCCATCCCTGTTAGGCTGCTGTCCTTTAATCTTTGTTCTCCTTCATTGAATGTGGCTATGTCTGAGTTAATTACATGAGCCAATCCACAGGACGGGGTTGGAAGTGCTCAATATAGAGCCCCCCACAGCAATGAACCTATGAGTCAGGCACAGATTGAAAAACAGGTTCAGAAATGTCAAGTGACATCTAAGGCTACACCACAAAGCATATAAAGGGCTCAGTCTCTGGAGCCCACGCTGAATAGTTTTGACTAACTGCTTCTGGGAGTAGGAAAGGGAATGTTCCTTATAGATGGACACGCCTGGAACATGCATCTTTTTAGTTACTTGATTTCTGTTCTTGCTCTGCCAACTTATCTTTTTTTTTTTTTTTATAAGGTTCACTTATTATTCTCTAATTATAAAGAAAACATTGTAGAGAATATAAAGTATTGAAAGGCGAAAAAACCATGCCCTACTTAATGAGTATGTGTATTTCCTCACCACTCTTGTCTTTTTGGCAGTTAATCACACTGACTCATTTAAGCCTATTGACACCTAAACTAAGTGTTTTCACACATGTCTGAGAGACCTTTTCGTAGACAGTGGAAGGGCTCTGTCCCTCTTGTTTTTTAAAATACAATCAGTATGGGCATGTTCTTTATCTGTGGCTGAATGAAGACTCAGGCTCCATAGTTTTTTGAGCCAGGCCTTGTTAATAGAAGTAGTCATTATATACAAATTCGAAATAAGCAGCTGCATCAAAATGCTGTGTGAGTTGAACTTAAAATGCTGCTTTCTTTTGTGACTTATACTTCGATTCTTTCTACTTTGTCTATAGTACCCAAACATTAGTCAACCAGGGCTACCCCCAATTAACAGGAGATGCAGAGCAAGCTCTCTAAGCAGTCACATTTAAGTCCCTCTTATAGTTTGATATGGAAGGCTGGCACACAAAATACCAACAGCTCTCTCTAAAATGTTAATCTCTTGATCTCCAATGCCTGACCTTTCTGTATACTTGATGTGTATGAGTGTATGTGCCATAAAAGTAATCTAACCTCAGCCTTTGAAATTTCGCCATAAAACATAGCAGTAAGATTTTGGGCACTGTGATCCAGTACACACATGTGAAACAGCACTATTTTATTACACTTTATAGCTTCCTATTTTATGTTTATCTTAAACATAGGATGGAGATTACTGAGTAGATTTAACAACCCTCTGTAAAGGGTCACAATCCGTAGTTGGAAAAACATCAGTCAACCAGTTCTGAGCAAAACCTCATTTGAAAATATACATCTTGATTTAGTAACTTAGTTTGATGTCAGATATCTGCATTTAGATTTTTCAATTTTGTGTTTTATTTATTTATTTTATTTTTTGTGAGACGCAGTCTCACTGTCTTGCAACCGGTAGAGTGCCCTGGTATAAGAAATCACAGCAACTTCAAACTCCTGGGCTCAAGCAATTCTCCTGCCTCAGCCTCCCAAACAACTGGGATTACAGATGCCTGCCACAACACTGAACTATATTGGCCCACAACACTGGGCCTCTCTCTTGCCCAGGCTGGTCTTGAACTCCAGGGCTAGGTGGCTCATGCCTGTAATCCTAGCACTCTGGGAGGCTGAGGCAATCCACCCGCCTTGGCCTTCCAGAGTGCTAGGATTACAGGCGTGAGCCACCTTGTCCTGCCCCCATTTTTATGTTCTATTATAAACATAATAGGACACTAATTTGAGGTTTTTGAATGTTTTTTAAATTGTCTGCATGTTTATTATACAGACTTTTCTACAATACTCAGGGCTACACTTTTCACAACTCCAGAAGGTCCTGTTGATTTCATAGTTTGTGTGAATGGGGCTCTTACAGTTATACCTACCCAGTCGTGCCTGATTATAAACAAAAATGCTGCTCATACTTTTTCCTTATTTGTGTTATTCTTCAACTCTTCCTGCAGTATGGTTTCATTGAATGACTCTAAAATTGGAGCTTTGCAAAATGCGGCTGAAAGGCGAGTCCCTCCAGAAGACAACATCTACATTATTGATGACAATGTTTATGTCGTGGATTAAGACCCAGTGATGCTCTTCAAGGGTTCTTCAAGGTTTTGTGCCCATGACTGCAGAAGACAGTGACCAGATTATCACCATGTCAGATGTCTTTGAAACTCCAGGATGATTTTTCTGCATCTGTTTGATCTATTATTCCAATATATCAGTGATATTGGGTAGAGTCTAGCTCAAAACTATAGTGAACATCATTGTTAATATAGTCCTAATATTTTATCCTAAAAATGGATTAATCTTGCTGACCATTGCAGTGTTATCTCTCGAACGTGAACACTAGAATTGTATCTTCTCTTAAGACTCCATGAATCCTGTCTCCATCAAAGAGACTAGTCACTGAGAATAGAGGAAATGGAATTATACCCAAAGTGATCAAGAGGGAAGTACGGCTGGAAAAGGTGGCTCACACCCATAATCCTAGCACTATGGGAGGCTGAGGCAAGAGGATCACTTGAACTCAGAATTTGGAGATCAGCCTGAGCAAGAGTGAGACCTCATCTCTGCTAAAAATAGAAAAAATTAGCCTGGTGTTGTGGTAGATGCCTGTAGTCTCAGTTACTCAGGAATCTGAGGAAGGCAGGAGGATCCTTGAACCCAGGAGTTTGAGGTTTCTGTGAGCTAGGCTCATATCATGGCACCCTAGCCTGGGGTAACAGAATGAGACTCTGGCAGAAAGAAGAAAGAAAGAAACAAAGAGAGAGAGAGAGAGAGAGAGGGAAGGAAGGAAGGAAGGAAGGAAATAGACTTAAAAATCAGCAAGTCTAACTTGAGAATTAATTTGGATGTATTTCATTATTATGTTTTGTTTCTGTATTATAATTCCAAATGTTACATTTCTTAAGTTTCCCAAGGGTATTAACTCATAAGGTGCACAGGTTTTTATTTCCTCTATGGGGAAATAAATAGGAGTGAGTCTAATTTCACCATTGCAGGTATATTTGTTTTTTCATGGCTCTGGAAATATGATACATTACATGGTGCCTGATTCTGGACTAGGATAGCTGTTCTAGTGGTCAACAGAAGCTACAGCAGTGAATATGCACCAGATGTACACTAGGGGGAAATGATCATTTGCCATGTGATTCAACACCCTTACCCTGTTTTATGCTACATTTGTGTTATAATGCTAGGCACTTGTGTAAACAATCATCAGGTCCTTTGAATTAATTTTTAGGAGAGTGCACAAATGAAAGGGAAACATGGAAAGAGTATGGAGAAAAGGCTTTCTGCCTTAGAAAAGTTATACAGCAAATATAATAGTGTTTGGAAGTGTCCCTAGTTTCATAAAAAATTCTAAATTTCTAAATTGCCTCCAAACCACTTTTATATTTCAGATCGTTTCAGAAAAGCAAAGAGTGGTTCTTTTTCCATAAATCTAATCAACCATATCACAATTGATCTAATGTTATTTTTCATAGTGCAATTAAAGTTTTAGTTTTGCCAGGATAGTTAAACAAATGTTTATTGTTAGGATATCTTCAGTCACTAAAATTGTTTAGAGTATAGATTTTCAAAGGTTGTATTTGTCAGAAGAGAAAAATCTCTATGTGAACAGTTAAGGCTGGGTATTAATTTCAATTTCTGTATGAGTAAACACTGAAATAACTCATGCTTGGGACCAGAGCTACTAACATCATAGTGGTCTCAGAGGACAGGATGCTTGCTTTTGAAGACAACATTTTTGATACTGATCTACAGAGTTCTAGGAATTAGTTAGGTCTTTTAAAGATTCTGTGGGCAGTTAGATTGTGATATATGATATTCTGGGTTTCCCAAATGTGGCCGGGTTAATATGGTCTAAAAACTTATTTTGTTTAAAATATTGTCTTGGATTCAAGGCAACATGAATAAACCTAAAGATTTAAATTTAAGGCCCAGATTTATAGCTTCTCTGGAAATACTTGGGAAGATTGGGCTGCATTTCTAAGGACTCAGGGCCTTACTATTGGAGCCACAACCTCTAGCCACCAAATCCTCACCTTCCTAACTGCTCATTTTTGTTACCTGCCTGGTGTCTACAAGACTTTGAGTTTATGGCACTCACTCTATTCTCCATGTTTTTCCTGGAGCTTTTTGGTGCACATCAAAGGCTTTAGGAATCTGGTTAATTTTGTCTAACCATGCATTTCCAAAACTTGGTTGAACATGTGAGCACAGTGACCTGCAGCATTCTGTGAAAGGTTGACCTGAGTTCTAAACCCAAATCTTAGCCGTAACACTAGATGACATCAAAGCAAACTCATTTTTTTTTTTAATCCATTAGATCTGGCCATTTCCATACCAACCATGACATATAGTGGTAATTCCAATGAAATGTTACTTGTAAGAAGGCTTTAAAAAGTAAAAAACACTACTGAAATGCCAGGCTTATTTTTCTAGTAGTCTTTGTAGCGATAAAAGATATAGCATTATTGCTCAGTAAAAAATTTGAAGGGTGTTACATAAGTCTCTTACTATATGGTATATCTTTTTTTAAATGTTGCTTTTTTGAAAAAGTTGGGTATCATCTTATACATGTATTATATATAAAATTATTTAATAACAAGATGGGTAGGAAGGGAGGAAGGAGAGATATTTAGTTAATATAATTTTCCCCCTGTAAACACATCAATCTTGTTCATCATATTGAATTTTGTTTTGTTTTTGATTCTTGGATACACAGTTGAGATTCCGTTACCCATAATCTGTCTTGGGACATTAAAATATTGTGTGATTAAAACTGTATACTTAAAAAAAAACTGTACTTAAGAAATTTTACACGTTTTGAAGATGTAGCAGAACTAATTGTTCACTGATAATCTAATTTGTATGGACACTCATAAATAAAACTGGTTTTTCTTTTTTCTTTTTTTCATTTTAAAAACTGACTTGGTACTTTCTCAGGCTTGCCAGTTAGTCTGGGTCAGGCATCGTCAACTTGCAGACTTCTGGAACAAAGTCAAAGTGGGTCGAAATTTGTTGAGAGTCAAGTAGGTGCCAGGTAATCTTATAGATGCCAGGGATATAGAATAGAGCATCCCAGTTCCTAAAATGCTCCAATTAATTGGAGGAAATACAAACCCCACCATTCCTGGTACTGATTAATGCTTAGAAGAAAGAATAGCCTGGCTTCTCAACCAGGGTATTTGGGACCAGCAGACTTTGTTGCAGGGGGCTGTGCTGTGCATTGTTAGATGGTCAGCATCAAGCCTGGTTTCTGCCCACTAGAAGATCCTCCAGTTGTGACAACCTAATCCCCTGATGGGCAACATCACTCCTGGTTGAGAGGCACTGTGGTAGAGCGTGTCTGGGTGAGGTGGGAAGTGGTACAGCTTTAGCTGGTTGGCCAAGGGCTGCCTCTGGGAAAGAGGTGACATTTAAGTTGAAACCAAGAGAAATGTGTAGGTAGCAGCTATATGAAAATATGGTTGAAGGGATCCACAAAATGCAATGGCCCCGGGGCAGGAAGAGGCTCGTGTATTAAAAGATGAAGGACTGAAAAGGGAAGTGAGTGAGGAGGGGTGGAGAGACATGAGGCTGGCAGAGGAGCAGAGTGTCTGGCCCCCTGCTGCTGGGAGGAGCTCTATAAACATGGCCTGTTTGAGAAGACAGTCCCATTCTTGGGGGAAAAAAAGCTCTTTTGCATATGAAAGGCCAAGCCTGCTACCCATCACCAGGTTATATTTTAACATCTTTTAACATGCTTCAATGATGCTGTTCTAAGTTCAGATATGGCCCCTTGAGAAAGTCATCTTAGCTGGGGTGACAGAGGGAATAGGTAGAAGACAGGGAAGGGAAAAGGTTACATACATTTTTACAGGAGGGGCTTATTACAGGGCTGTGAGATGCACCCAGGCCTATCAAGAGAGATTTTGGAATACGAAGGTTAGGGCACCAGAGTTTGACTCTGATCTGGATCCAGACTTGCAGCTTTGAGGGGCAGTGGGTGGTACAGGAGCTCACTTGGTCCACAAATGCATTTTTAAAGTAGTTGTGTATTTGGATATGCATCTATTTCTTTTTCCTCTTTTTAGTTGGGAGGTAGGTAGACGCTGTCTCCCAGGCTGGAGCACAGTGGCATGAGCACAGCAAACAGCAACTTTGACTTCTTGGGCTGCTCAAGTGATCCTTCTGCTTCAGCTTCCCAAGCAGCTAGGACTGTAAGTGCACATTATCACACTCCGCTAATTTTCCTGGTGTTTTTTTTTGTAGAGATAAGGGTCTCCCTATAGTGCTCAGGCTGTGGCGTGCATCTTTTTTCTTCTTTAAGCCTCAAACCCATGATTTAATGGTGATTGATTAGGATGACTAAAACCTTAAAGTTTATTAATTTAAAATAATATAACTGAGTAATAGCAAAAGGGCAGTGTAAATACGGCAAAGGTTATGTAGCTGCCTGAAGATGGGGAGGCAATAGATTGGTCCACCTGGGAGCTTGTCAAAATACAGAGCAGATTCCTGTGGCCCTCAAGATTCTGATTAAGACAGATAAGGCCTTAGAATTTTTGTTTGTTTAAAGGACAGAAAACAAGTAACTACAAGTTGTTTAACATTTAAACAATCATTCAGACTTTGTCAAAGAATATGTAGAAATAAGAGCATACAATAACTCTCCATTGTTACTTATTTAAGAACAGCTCATGAAATGGACTCAGAAACACCGAGGCGGTCTGTGTTTGCATTGCCCTGCCAATTTTGAAGCTAAAGAAGATTAGAGGACTCAGAGTCCTCAAAATATAGGAAAACCCTAAGAAATGTAGGGGATGCATATTTACACTCATTTTTATAGTCTAGTTTGTGGAGAAACAGTTTTAGTTTCACAATGATTTTTGGATGGAAAAGAATGATAATTTATCATTTGCTCTCTGTCTGACCAAGGTTGATTGGTAATAGTTTTGGAGGATTTCAGGATATATATCCTCCCAAGACTATATTTCTTGTTTGACATTTGATCACATCAGTTTTTCTAAGGAAATAAATATCAAAAGCCATCGTTCCACCTTCTATAAAAGTAATGGCAGCCAATT